GACATCTCTGCTGGTTAAAATGCCCTGCTTCCCACACTTCCCTCTGGAGCTTCTGAGTTACATACCAATACTATAACCCCACATTTAGATCAGTGGCCATTTTTCCCTTCATCCATTCAGAGCAGGTATTGAGTACACATTGGAGCTGCTCATTGGGCTAAGGGCTGGAAATGGAAGGGAAACAGTCACTGTCTCTGCCTTCAGGAAGCTTACAGTCTGGTGATGCTTGTAGACCAGTCAAAAGGCAAAGTCCCTCACAGTGTGGCATGTCCTCTAACAGGGAAACGGAGGGTGCTGTGGGGGTCTGCTATGGGACATGCCTTACTCAGATCTGGGCTTGGACATGGGCATCAGGAAGGACACTTTAGAGGAAAGGACATCTAAGCAGAGATACCAAGCAAGAAACGAGGAGTGGAGAGTGGGCATAAGTAGTACAAACAAAGGAAACAGCATAAGCCAGGACAGTATGTAGGACAATGGGGACCAGATCACAGAGCACAAAAACAGGGAACACAGGGAGTGAGGATGATTATAGCTATACAGGGAGGATGTTGAATTGGTCTTCCCTAAGGTGGAAGTACTTTGCCAATTTCAGTAAGATGACCTGTTACTGATTTCAAGATTGGGAATTGCTGGGGATATTGAGGACTCTGGCAAGAAGTTTCACTGTGAAGGAACAGGGACAAATAGGGTAAAGTAGAGAGAGACTTGTGTTTGAGGTTTTACTTATTACCAGTAACTTTTTTAGATGGTAAAAATTTAAATACTCTCAGGGCTAATGGAAAGAAGGCAAGAAAAAGAGAACTGAAAGAGAGAGGATAATTTCTCCAGAAAGAAAGGGAAAGAGGCTAGGATTCAGAATCCTATGGTCAGGGGAAAAGGGACACCTGTCCTGCCATTATGACAGGCATGGATGGAGGCTGGACAGAGATGTTGATGCTTCCTGTGATGTAGAAGGTGGGGAGCCATGAGTGCTTTGTCACTTCATCCTGCCTCTCCCTGCTTAGGAGTTAGGACATTCTCCCACAATGACACAGGAGCCAGGGGCAAGGCAGTGAGCCATCACCTCAAGGGATGTGGGCACTTCCCCCTCCCCAAAGGCTCCACAGGCCTAGATCCTAAGGTAGTTTGTGATACACCTATTTCCCTTGCTGCTGAGAAGCCCCCTAAGTTGAAGACCTGCTCCCAGGGAGGGGTGCAGTAAGTCTTTCTTCTCTTCCACTGTTCATACTTCTGGGTCCTAAGCTGGGACTGCTGTTGTGATCAATCATGGTTTTTGAAAGAAAGCAGAATCAACTTGACTTGGAGTGCCTTTAAATGAAGGTATTGCTTATTTACCTAGGTACCAGCAGGGCTAAGGGAACCAAAGAGCAGTGCCACTGAGAAGCTAGGACTGAAGAGGCAAAGTGAGGAATAGTGGTTCAGGAACTCAAGGAGGTCTGGAGCGTGTGTGAAGAAAGCCAGTGCTGGAAGTGTGGAATTGAAGAAGCGGGGAGCAGGGAATATAGGTCACAAAAATCTCTCTCATCCTGCCCTCAGATCTTTGATGCTTCTCACCGGCCAAGTCAGAGGTGAGGAAGCCCAGCTGGGGCTGATGCAGAGATTGGTGTCCACAGGCAGAGGCAGAAAAGGATGGAGAATGAATGGAGTAGGGAAGGGGGTCTTGGGAACAATCAGCACAACTGACTCTACCTGGCTAATCCACGGAAAGCACAGTAAAGTTGCATTCAGGCTGCATGATCCTGACAGGAGATGAGTGGCACCACTTTTACCTCTTCTGGCCCGAAGAGGTACTGGGAGATCTGTGCTCTTCATCTCTCATCCAAGATTCTCACTTAACTTGGCAAAGGGGACTAGTCAGGAGCCTGTTCCTTCAGATACTAGTCCCAGGGAAGATTTGGGCACCCCTCTCCCAAGTACTCAGCGATTGCTATTGTAGGACTGGCCCCAGCTCCACACCTCACACTGCCCACTGTCCACCCTCCTCCCTCTGGTAGGTACACTGTGCTGAGGTTCTGGGCTGGCCAATCTGATAAACCCACTTGAGTTAGGTGTGCATGGAGTCCTAGCTCTGCTGTTACCAGCTGTCTGACCTTGGGCAAGGTACAATTTTATAGGTGAGCTGTTGGGAACTGCCCTGCCTGGTTTCAGAAGCTGTAACCCTGCCATGGCTAAGGCTGAGTGAGTGACCTTGGTATCACAAGCCACTAAGGAGACAAAGCTTATCTCCCTGGCAGGGGTACTACCTCTGCTCCTTTTAGTTCACCCTGCCTGGTCCCCAATGTATGATTGGTTAGCCAATGACAGGTAAGATTGCTCAAGGGAGGGATGACCTAAGACAGGCATGATCACAGGGGGCCCCAGGGAAGGACTTGGGGGGGCATGGCAAAAACAGGTGATGGACCATCGTCCCTCTGCTTTGACATAGCCTAAATCCTCATTCTCTCTTTGAGAAGTCTCCTAATCTCTTGGCTGCCTTACTTCCCCTGCCTGATTTAAGCCTGAAACAATGACAGAGGGTGGTGCAGCCCTGTGCTGGAAAGGGCGGGTTCCCCAGGTGATCAAGCCTAAGAAAGAATGCACAAAATCCTGTGAAACTTGCTTTGATAAGAATGCTCTCAATGTTCTGAAAAGGATCCCAGCAGAATTTGAGTTTGTTTCCCAAAGTTTTGTAGCTCTTTAGCTAACAAACCCTGACTCAGAATAAGCCCTCATAGTTCTTTGTATGTTACCTATTGTTTGATCCTTACTGCCTGACAATGACTGATGAGCTCTACCTGTATTTCTGCGCAAACTGAACCCAATAAAAGCTCATTGAGGAAAAGGGTCTTGGCCCTTCTCCTTTGAGTGATCAGCCACCTTTCCTCTCCAAGCAGATCATGTCTTGGTACTTATTTTCATCTGTAGTGGCCAGGGCTGGTGGTGGTGGTGGGGAGGGCCCTGCGGGTGGAGCCCCCCACCCCCCACAGTGAGCCATATTCCTAAAATGGCACAAAATCACTACAAGGAGCCAACTGAGCTAATTTACATGAAGGCACTTTGTAAAACCTAAAGTGCCAGAGAAATGAGGACTCATTGTAGGTAGATTACCTCTCTTGGTTGTTTTCACATACAAAGGCCTCCGGAGGACACTAAAGCATTATCTCAGTGTTTCTGAAATAGCTGACCACCTACATCTATTTTACAAACTTCCGAGGGATTTGGATGCACCCTGAAACTTGTCAGCTGACTGTAATGGTGGAATTGGAGGCACCATGACAGCACAGGGTTAGAGGTTAGGTTTGTTTGGAATGATGGCAGGTGTAGACTTTGCCTGTGTGTAGGATCAGCACCAACTCTCAGGAAATCCTAATTCTCATCCTCATGTCCTGAGAACGCAGGCAGAGTGGTGGCTAAAAGCCCCTTACTGCTGGGGACAGGCAGGCTTGGAAGTGCTAATCCCTCCAAAGGAAGATCAGAAAAACACTCCAAGTCTTAAAAATATTACTTTTTACAAAAGTATTGTTTTTTTTTTGCCTGGCTGGTGTAGCTCAGTGGATTGAGCAAGGGCCTGCAAACCAAAAGATCACGGTTCAATTCCCAGTCAGGGCACATGCCTGGGTTGCAGGCCAGTTCCCAGCAGGGGCCAGTTCCCAGCAGAGGATGCACAAGAAGCAACCATACATTGATATTTCTCTCTCTCTCTCCCCCTCCCCTTCCCTTCTAAAGATAAAAATAGAAAGAAAGAAAGAAAGAAAGAAAGAAAGAAAGAAAGAAAGAAAGAAAGAAAGAAAGAAAGAAAGGAAGAAAGAAAGAAAAGTATTGTTTTTGGCTACTTGAGTAGGGAAGGTATATGATGTGGGGACTCCACCCCCAGCAATAAAGGCATACACATAGGATAGTACATGTCTTCTCCAAGTATTTGCCTCCTTTACCTGAGGGGTTATAGGGCTTGGAGCTAAGGCCCCATATTATGCAGCAGGGCAAGGAGGAAAAGGCCTGGGGAGGAATGCCTCCCTTCCCTGCTCCCCAACGCCCTCTGTATGGCTGAAGTTGGTCCTTGTCTACCCACTAACCTCTAACTTTGACCATGGCCAAGCAAGCCTGGCTCACCACAACCCTCCAACCTGCACAGGTTCAAGGGGCAGAAGCAGCCTGTTCTAAAGGTGCTGGGAAGCAGAGTAAGGGGGACTGCCCTGTAAGCCTCTCCAAGGCCTCTGAGTAAGTATCTGATTCTCCAGGTCCCCTTTCCTAAGGAGCTGGGTGCTTTGTGGGACCTCTGGGACTTTCTCAGGCTCTGAAACATAGTGCCTTCCACCTTACCAAATTCTTACCATCTTCAGCCTCAAACCATGTGTCCTCTCATCCAGGAAACTTTCTGCAATAAATTCAGCTTGCACATCCTCTCTTCTTAGAAGTCCTCCATCATTTGGCCCAGCACTTCATATTACAGCCTCCTTATATTGAAAGATACTATGGAAGTGTAGAGGTCTTCAAGATGTCTGGCAGGTTTATAGATGAGGAAATGTCTACTCTTTTCACTAATAGTAACAATATAACAATAGCTAACACAGTGAACCCTACGAGCTGGGCACTTGAAATGTGTGGATTCATTTTAGTCTCACAATTAAGCTCATTTTATAGCTGAGAGAGCTGAGGCAGAGAGGTAAAGTAACATAACCCAAGACTGCACAGCAAATAATAAGCAAGGCCAGGATTTGAACTGTGTAAGTCTAGTTCCAAAGTTTTCATCTTAACTCATGCTGTCTTAATATATCTCATGCTGCCTGCTACTGTCTGGCTTGCTCATCTTCTCTTCTCTATGTATGTCTCCTCTTCTTCAGTGCAGAAGATTTGTCTTATCGTTCTCTAGTAACATCCCCCACCCACGACCTCTCCCTACCACATAGTGGCTGAGCATACAGTAGGTACTTTAGAAGGTGTCCCAAGGTGTCCCATTGATAAAATACAGAACACTTCTTCTGACACAAGGTGGCAGCATTGCATTGGCCAAAAGTCAGTCAAGTAAAAATTGAAACTTTTATTTCTGGTAGAAATGATAAATACTTTGCATTAAAAATCTGGAATTCAAGTTTTCCTCATACTTCAAGCTCCCTACCTGACCCATAACCCTACAAACATATTTCTGTTTAGAAGGAGAAAGGTGGTACCTGCTCTCATAGCTAAGTCTGGGTCTGGGAAAAGACACAGGGGGTCTGTCTCAGAGCTGGGAGGTTCCCACCTGCCCCAGTGGAGCCTAGGAAGCCAATGATGAGTAAAATGCATTGTGACCTGGTGTAGGGGCTGAAGCATCAGCCCCAACAGCCCCCTCTCTGGGGCGATAATGCCCTCCTTCTTGGGTAGTTGAAAATACAGAGTGGCCACTTCTTCCTCGTGGTTAGGGAGGGGTTCTATGTGGGGAGGTGGGTATAACAGGCAAAGACACCTTTTGGGGTCTATATCTTTAAAGAGTTAAATAAGAGAATCACACGCCATGATATTTTGGTTGCTTGAAAGGGGGGATGAAGGAGGCAAGGAGGGGTATAGTATAGAGAACCACCTTTTCTTTCCTGTCCTCAAGAAAGGCACACAGTGGGAGTGGAAGCTGCCATGCCACATCCCGTTTCACAGTTATGAGTGATGGGGCTGGAGGCTCTGGGATTAGGGGAGGGAAGAAAGGGGGAAGGGGAAAGGAAGGGGAAGGGAAGGAAAGGAAAAGGGGAAGGGGAAGAGCAGGGGAAAGGATAGGCAGGGAGAGGAGGGAGAGAAATAAGGCCTCTGTGGGGTTGGGAGAAAGAGTGGTGAGCCTTCACCCCAGCCTGGCTAGGGATCTTCATCCCAGGGACATAGCTGCCTCTGGGGCATGTAGAATTTGAAGCTGTAGCTCTTCTGGCAGCTGCGGATGCCACATTTGTAAGGTGCCAGCCGATCCCGGCTATGGCAATACTTGAGCATGCAGGGGTACCAGGCCAGGCTCAGGCTATAGTGACAGACACAGGGCATCCCTTGGTCCCCCACCTGCCCGCAGCGAGGTAGCAAAGCCTGCTCTGTGTCCTTGTGCAGAATCTTGAAGATGGAGCTGTCCACACCTAAGGGAGAGAGGCAAAGGTCAAGACAGGAGAAAGTGGGCCCCTAGCAAGGGGCCGGGGCCATTCCATGCATGGACTTTTTAGGTATCCCATCACCCCAATGAGCTAAATATTCTATTACCCTGTCACAGATGAGAAAAACAGCCCACAGAAGTTTAACAATCTGTCAGACAGTAAGTAGTAGAGTTAGGACTGGAACACAGGTCTGTCTGACTTCAAGGCCTTAACTTAGTCATGCTGCCACCCCACATTAAAAAACATCACTATACTGGATTGTGATGGAATAAAGGAGAGGAGAAAATAAGTAGGAAATCAAGACAAGCTTCTTAAAGGAAATGATATCTGAGTAGGACTGGGCAGGAAAAGGCCAGCACAAACACACTGGGAATTCAGAATGGTCAGGACAAGGATCAGATAGGAATGTGCACTTGAAGGGTACTGGGGATACAACAGGGACCTGAGCCTTGGCTCAGCTCAGTGGCCACAGGGGACCAGTCTCTGGGAGACAGTATGAGGCTTGTAGCTCAGTCTGGGGTGCAACCACTGGGCAAAGGTGGTGGTGGTGGTGGTGGTGGTGTGTTTGTAAGGCTTGAGAGCTCTTTCAGGCATCTCTAAATCTAGAGCTGGCCTGGAAGGGGCAGACATTTCTCTAGTGTGCAGCCAGCTGAGCCGAGGGACCAGGAACCTGGAACTGGAATGGTGACATTTCCTTCTCCCCTTTATATAGAGGACCTGAGGACAGCCCTAGGAAAAGTACCAGATTACCCAGTAGTGAGGTCACACAGGCCAGAAAGGCAAAGATCATGCAAAGATAGGAGGAGGCCTCGGAGATCTTGGGATAAAGATGCTGGCACTAGAGAAGGAGAGGAGAAAGAAAGAAGAGGAATGAATTTCTAAGAAGTGGTAGTCAAGGTAAACATGTGAATGGGAGTCCTTGTGCCCCACCCAGACCCTGGTGCCTGTGTCCCCTCACATGACAGAAGGTTCTCTCTGAGTTCCCATTAAGGTCAGTAATGAGGTGGGATTTGCCTGGGAATCTCCCTCCACAGGGACCAGCAGAGCCATAGTTCTGTGTGTCCCTACCTGGAATGGGTCCCTTTCACCTGGCTGACTCCTCTCACTGAAGAGCCACACAGATGTCCCTTCCCTAATTAATTCCAGCCTGGTTTAGATGTCCCTTCCCTGAACCCCACATCTCATCATTGAATTTTATCATATTTGATATGATACAGTGGTGGACAGCACCCAGCTGACCTTGCTCCAACCAGAACTTGACATCCTGCTGGCGGGTGTAGATGGCATCCACTGCCTCTGCACACACATTGTGGAGATGGGGACTCAGCAGGGCCCCCTGACTGAAGTTTACAGCGATATCCAAGTGCAGGTGTTCGAGGCCCCGCACCTCTTCAGCCTGACGCACTGCCCATGGATTTTTCTGTGGGGAGGAGAAGAGCCACTTCCACTAGGTCTCATAAGGATTCCTGCCCATTTCCCCTTGATAACTTAAAGAGTCAGACAAGCCCAGGCTGGTTGTGTTTAGACTCGGGACCATTTGCAAGGTGGCAGTCAATCATAGGGTACCCAGCTCCCTCTCCAACTGGTAGAAAAACTGATACCCAGAGCACAGTCAAGCCTTTTCAGCTGGCTGTCTGTGGTGGCACAAATGAAGAGTTCAATCATGCTGCTGGGGTGGCTGTTGGAGGTGGGCTGACCAGGTAAGCTGTCCCAGGGTAACTGACCTCTGGGGTTCCATGCTTCCCAACATTTAGATAAATTTTTAAGAATATATTTTATTGATTATGCCATTACAGTTGTCCTATTTCCCTCCTTCATTCCTCTCCACCCTGCACACCCCTCTCCCACCATTCCCCCCCTTTCATTTATGTCCATGTGTCACAAGTTCTTTAGATTCTATATTTCCCCTACTATTCTTGCCCTCCCCCTATCTGTTTTCTGCCTACCGTCTATGCTACTTATTTTCTGTACCTTCTCCCTCTTTCTCCTCCTCCCACTCTCCTGATGCTACCCCTCCATGTGATCATTTCTATGGTTCTGCTCCTGATCTAGCTGTCCTCTTAGTTTGCTTTTGTTTTAGGTGTGGTTGTTGATAACTGTGAGTTTGCTGTCCTTTCACTGTTCATATTCTTTTATCTTCTTTTCCTTAGATAAGTCCCTTTAACATTTCATATAATAAGGGCTTGGTGATGATAAACTCCTTGAATTTGACCTTATCTGAGAAGCACTTCCATTCTTTTTTTTTTTTTAAGATTTTATTTATTTATCTTTAGAGGGGAAGGGAAGGAGAGAGGGAGAGAAATATCAATGTATGGTTGCCCCTTGTGATTCCCCTGATGGGAACTGGCCTCCAACCCAGGCATGTGCCCTGACTGGGAATCGAACCGTGGTTGCTTGGTTCCCAGGCCCGCGCTCAATCCACTGAGCTACACCAGCCAGGGCTAGCACTTCCATTCTTAATGAAAGCTTGGCTGGATAGAGCAATCTTAGATAAAGGTCTTTGGCTTTCATGACTTGGAATACTTCTTTCCAGCCCCTTCTTGCCTGTAAGGTCTCTTTTGAGAAATCAGCTGACAGTCTGATGGGGACTCCTTTGTAGGTGACTGTCCCCTTATCTCTTGCTGCTTCTAGGAGTCTGTCCTTCATTTTAATCTTGGCTAATGTAATTATGATGTGCCTTGGTGTGTTCCTTCTTGGGTCCAACTTCTTTGGGACTCTCTGAGCTCCTGGATTTCCTGGAAGTCTATTTCCTTTGCCAGATTGGGAAAATTCTCCTTTATTATTTGTTCAAATAAGTTTTCCACTTGTTACTCTTTCTCTTCCCCTTCTGGCAACCCTATAATTCAGATGTTAGAACGTTTAAAGATGTCCTGAAGGTTCCTAAGCCTCTTCTCAGTTTTTTGAATTCTTGTTTCTTCATTCTTTTCTGTTTGGTCATTTTTTTTCTTCCTTCTGGTCCACTCCCTTGATTTGAGTCCCAGTTTCCTTTCCATCGCTATTGGTTTCCTGTGCATTTCCCTTTATTTCAATTAGTTTAGCCTTTATCTGTTCCTCTAATTTGTGACTAAAATCAACCAGTTTTGTGAGCATCCTGATCACTAGTGTTTTGAACTGTGCATCTAAAAGGTTGGCTATCTCTTGGTTGCTAAGAATTATTGCCTCTGGGGCTTTGAGCTGTTCTTGAGCCATAATGTTTTGGTCTGTTCATACCTGTTATGTATGAGAGGTGGAGCCTTAGGTGTTCACCAGGGTGGGGGGATCCAGTCTCTGGGTTGTGACACTGTATGTGGGGGTGGGGCCAGAGAGGGGCAATGGTGTTTGTTCTTCTCTCTCTTGGATTTCGATCTCCTCTGCTGCTTCCCACAAGCAAACCTGGCCCCCCTGGTGCTGCCTCCTGGGTGTGTGGGCCTGTGCACCCTCCAGGACCCTGTGGGTCTCTCCAACAAACTTTCTGTGAGCATAGGAGCCTCTCCTGGCACCTTGACCCTGTAAGTCTTTCCAATTGGTGCTTTCAGGTTCTAATTCCTGACGCTGGGGCCCTAGCCTGAGCGGTCTGTCTCACTGCTCGCTCCTTTGCTTGGTTTATCTGCACACAAATGTGTGACTGCGGTCAGCCAACCACCTTGCGCCCCCACTGGGTTTGCCCGTTGCCACCCCACACCTGGGATCTGCCAACTGCCGCCTGTGCTCCTGGGTCATTTGGGCCAATCTTTCCTGCCCGACCCTGCTCCGCTGCTGACTCCACCCCTCTTACTGGTCTGGTTGAGTGGTTCGTTGTTGTCAGACTTCTGTACAGTTCAATTTTCTGTGTTTTGGCTGTGTTTTTGTAACTAAAACTTTGTTGCCTTTAAACTTGGTTGTGCGAGGAGGCACAGTGTTTCCACCTATGCCTCCATCTTGGCCAGAAGTCCCACATTCAGAAAATTGAGTATCTCTCAGAAGGGCAGGTACAAGGCGAAAGGCCTATGGCAGGTAGAGGCTTTGAAGGTGAGGTAACTTGTCCAATGTTACCCAGATAATGAGGTTGGCACTGGATCTGAAGGCAGATACAACTTCAGAGTCTAAGCCCCTAGCCTCTGTCATAAATGGGGAGGAGCTAACACTAGGAACTGGAGGAATATAGGAGTATAGGGGTTCAGTGCAAATTAAAGATCTGGGGCTATGAGGTCAGGTTTAGCTGGAGCAAAGTCAGGGGGTTCAGGACTGTAAGGTGAGAGTAAGGTACCAGGTATGAGGGCTCAGGTCACATGCTGGGTGGGATATGGAGGCTAGGGTGGTGTGCAGGCTTGGAGCCCTGCTGGCTGCAGTGGTGAGAGCTCTGGGGCAGGCTGGGAGAGGGCAGGCCCAAGGAAGGCACTCACCTGTCGAAGCTTGGCCATGGCCTCACTGGGGATGATCTCATTGTGGTGCAGTCGGGTGACAAAGCAGAGGGCCTGGAACTGACTCTGACCCTTCTCCAGCTCCCCCAGGATCAGAGCCCGGAAGATCTTCACATACTGATGGAAAAGGGCAGAAGGACAGGGACCAGGTGGATGTGGGTGGAACTTCCCTGCCGGCCCACCCAGTGCTCAGCTCAGGCCCTGGAGAGGACAAGTGCTTGGATACTGCCCTGCAAAAGACTGCCCTCTTTTTGGTCTAGGATTTTTAATCTTTCTCACTTAAACCAGTGACTTAAAAGAACACAGCCCAGATGTTTCAAAGTCTCCTGGAAATTTCACAAAGTGAACTGCTAGAAAGCTTTTTGAAACAGAACTGTTTCAAAGTACAGAACTTCACCTTGAAGGGAACAGCACTGTTTTGGCACCTGGTTTACTCATAGCCAATACTTCTCCCAGGTAGCACCAATGTGTCACTCTGATCAGGATGGGTCAGGGCTCCTACAACCACAGGACCCAGGCCTCATGCAGGGAGAGGTTGTACTTTTTACAAGTACAGATTTCAGAGTTTCTTTTGCTAACATTCTTATTCAGGTTTGGGAAAATGCCTAGCTATTAGTGCTCCTCAAAATTCCCTCCAGAATTCTGATCAGCCAAGCCACTCAGGTAGAGGTGGTGGGGGCAGGACAGGGTTAGGAACAGATGCCAGCAAAAGCTGCCTTCAGCTGTTGCTGTCTTCTGGAGTGAGGGAACTGGGATGGCTCACCTTTCCCTTCCCTCTCTACTTCCCCTTTCCTGCTGGGGTTACCAAGGGCATTACCAGGAGGCCCAGGGCTCCTTCGTGTTACTGACTCACTGCACAAATGGGAGAGGCTGGAGTGGGGCCATGGGATGGGCTCTCCTTCCCAACTGACTCCCTGTGCTCTGACCCACCTGCACCTGAGATGCCTCCCTGCTCTCACCCATCTCTGTGTCTTGCCTGACTGTTTTCAGTGAAAAGTTAGAAGTAATTTAATCTGTCAAGGTCCCTCTGCCTAGGAGATACCCAGGTGACAATGACGGTTCTCTTCTAGGAACACCAATGGCCCTGCACTGGCAATGAGAGTGTAAGGCCCAGTGTAGCTCACCTGTCAATGTATGTGCCCTGGCCTCAATCACTAAGCCCCCATTCAGTGCATGCTCATGGTACACCTGCTAGAATGTAAGTGCTCTGAGAACAGGGTGTAAGATCCCTCTTGGATTCCTATACAGGCAGTGAGGGGTACATGATTCCACCCCAACTCTGCAATGTATTATCTGGCACCCAGGCATATCTCTCAGCTTCTCTAAGCCTCAATTGTAAAATGGAAATGAGAATACATTTACCTGACAGGGTTGTGGTGAGGACTAAATACGTTAGTGTGGAGGGTACAGAAGAATGCCCACACAGAGTGAGTGCTTAAAAAGTACCAGCTGTGGTGATTATCATCATTGCAAGTGATCAGCACATGTCACAGGTGATCTGAACAAATGACTGCTGTCATTTCATAAATCCTTATGTACTTCTGAAGTCCTCTGACTTTACAAGGATGTTTCTCTTACTTCCTTTTACTATGAATGTTCTCTGGAACAATGAGGTGGAGGAGTGTATAGGGAGACTTTCCACCAATATTGTTGAAAGAAAAACTGAGGCTCAGCTGGTGAGAAAGGTTCTATCAGATTTCTTACTATCCCAGACTTGTGGGGAAAGTGAATCAGAGCTTGGGTATATTCTAGCTTCTGCTCAACAGAAAATCTGTTCTTGGGCCACATATCTGGAATCTCCTTGCCCCACCAGTCTGGCATCTGATCTTCCACTCCCTTGGGGGGAAACTGAAGCTGTACACTTAAGTACTTCTCACTCCAAGCTCAATTCCTGTCGGGTGAGACTTGATACCAGATTTCTACTCCTAGTGTATTTTCAGCAATAACCCTTTAAAAGAGCCCTGTCTGGAATATTCATGACCCTTTTTAAATTTTATTTATTTATTTTTAGAGAGAGGGGAAGGGAAGGAGAAAGAGAGGGAGAGACACATCAATGTGTGGTAGCCTCTCATGAGCCCCCTACTGGGAACCTAGCCTGCAACTCAGGCATGTTCCCTGACTGGAAATCGAACTGGCAACCCTTTGGTTTGCAGGCTAGCACTCAATCAACTGAGCTACACCAGCCAGAGCTTCATAATCCTTTAAAAGAACCCTGTCTGGAATATTCATAGCATCTTCTCCAATCCATCTCCTGCCCATACCCTGTGGTTTGAGAGGTGCTGGGTGGTCCCATTGCTCAGGGACATCACCTGCCTGCCATTAACAGAAAAACATTTATTTAAATTCTTAGGCCAGAATAGAGGATGAAAGAAATCTGAGTTACCCCCTGCATCTATATTAAATAAAAATATCATCATCAACAACAATGACAACAAAATGCTACTAAAATGGGAACACAACTGGGTGTGAAGAGAGGGAACAAGGGTTTCTCATTGAAAAAGGATATTTCCTCTGTTTCTCCCATTTATTTGTGTAGGAAAAAGATTTATTGAAGTTTATAATTGGAAGGGACAAGTCATTGTTACTATGAGTAAAAAAAAAAAAAGGGTATATTGTCCTGTTTAAAATCTTTACAAGAGTGGGAACTATGATTTCTGCCAAGTTTAGAATGGGTAACTTGCTCAGGGTCACGGGACTAAGAGAAATATATCCAGAATTTTAATCCAGCAATCTGACTCCAAAATCTGGGCTCTCTTCACCAACCACAATGCATAACTGCCTACTAGATCAATTTGTCATATTTCCTTGATGCCTAGCTAAAGAAACTGAAACTCAGGCCCAGAGAGGCAGTGCTAATCTGCCCTTGGCCACGCAGCTGGCAAGTAGCAGAGCCAGAATAAGGTCCCCCTTCCAGCTGTGCTGGTCCATCCTGTGGTGGTCTGTGAGTCCTCTGTATACCTGCCTACAGAGTATAGCAGCTCCCACTCATGGTTCTAAGTGACTAATAAACAACAGCATCTGACACAAATACTGGAGTAAGATGAGGAAGAACACCCTTCTAATATGCCTATCTGCCTTTCCTTTAGCCTCTTTAAACCCTGAATTTTTCAGTTTTCTTAGTCCTATTTTTCCAGAAAACCATATTTAACTTGCTGGTCCCTAGGAGGGAATGGGCAGCCCTAGTTTCTGAATCTCTTTGGCTCCACCAATCTGACCAGTGCCCCTCCTACCTTCTACTCCCTACACCTCAGAGTCACTACTAAGGTTCCAGGGGTCCTTTTTCTTATAGCACAAGGGAAGGGCAGGGGAGAGGCTTGCCTGCTTCAGAGAACATCTGGCTGGATGGAAGCCCGGCTTCCAGGCTTCCTCTTCACTAGAGAGTGCCCTAGGATGATTCATCCAGATGTGGCCTAGCACCCAAGACAAATGGCATAATGAGAAAAAGCCCATGTCACTGGGCTAGAGGTAGGGTCCTCAAACCCAGGACTAAAGCTACAGCTTCCAAGACAGGAGATTTCTGTACATCTTTTTCCCCTGAGCTCCTAGAACCTGCAACTCACCAGGTACAGGCCACTAAGAATAAATGTACATGACAGTACCAGGGATGAAATCTGGGCTATGCAGAGGGTGTGGCAAGTGTGCCATGAAGAGAGAGAGAGAGAGCACGAGTGAGCCTCTGCTAAAGTCTGCTGTAGTTTTCAGTAAGAAGGGATTCAGTATGTTCTAGGAGAGCACAGTAGTTAGAAATAAAGGCTCTGGAGGCAGTACTACCTGTGTTCAAATGCTGTTTTTGCTGACACTAGCTAGCTATGTAACGTTGGGGGATTTACTTAATCTCTCTGCACCTTAGTTTCCTCATCTATAAAATGACTAAAACTAGTAGTACCTTCCTCAAGGGATTATTATGAAGAAAAACTAAGGGAAAGGTTTCAGAACATAGTGGGCTGACCTCTTTAAGTTTCTTTATTATATTGTTACAACCACTGTCCCTATTTCAGCTGTGATCTGTTCCAGACCTGCAGAGGCAGGAGTAAAAACTTTTCTCTTAGAGATGTACCTGAGACCCAGAGAGGTCAAGTGACTGCTCTGAGGCTTGAAAGTAGTCAGCAAATCAGTGGGAGAGCATTGATTAGCATTACCTGAGCCATGTCCTTCACAGCCACCAGGCTGGGCAGGAGGGTGGGCAAGACTACCTGTCTTCAAGAGGCTCATGCAAGGTTGAATTCCTACAACCAGTCAGTGCATTATGATAAGCCCAGGGTTAGTTTTATGCTAAGTGCTATGTGGCAAAGGATATATGGAGGATATATTGAGGTTTTTGTTTCTTTAATGAAAGGACCTGAAGTAGGGGAGGAAGGGAATACTTCCCAGGAAAATATCAGTGGTCCTTGACAGTCAAAGGAGGACAGGCCTTCTAGCCAAGAGAGAGGCAATTACAGAAGACAGGAAGGTGTGAGGGTCTCGTCACCTCAACCCAAAGCATCCCTCCACTTTACTGTCATCAGATCTGCTTAAAGCCCTTCAAAGGCTCCTTTTGTCTCTCTATAAGGCTGGCATCTGGGTCTCTGCAGACATCTTCTCTTATGCTCCCTGAGCACTGAACCAAAAAGCTGGCAGTTCCCAGAATGAGCAATGCCATGTACCTTTCCATGAGCTGATTCCTCTGCCAGGGATGGCCTGTCCCCATCTGTATATCATCTGCTTTCCCCATTCATAGGTAGGCCACAGATCCATAATCTTTGACACATGCTGTTTCTCCAACAATCTTTCACAAGCAGTTGCTCCCAATATCTCACCAGTAGCAACCAGGCTCCCCATTGCCTTCTCCTGTCCCAGGCTCACACTGTACCTCAGTTGCTCATTCCCATTCCCTCACACAGATGCTCATATGAGCATATTTTCTCCCTTACAATCCCTTCATGGAGCCTCCATCTCACCTATTTCTCTGAATCACATGCACCAACTCTCACAGACCTTCCCCAACAGTCTCCTACACCGTCTCTCCCTCACTGAGTTCCCCCAATCTCACACACATGCTTTCTTGCCAGTCTAACAATCTCCTCACACATCATGTCACATGTACCTTCCTCAGTCAGTCACACACACCTTCATATGTA